ATATTAAAAACAAAACAATGACAACAAAACCAACATCATGCCTTATAAGGTTATTTTATAGCCATCTACCCTTTCAGGTATTCAATACTTCCAGGCCTTGTGTTTCCTGATTGGAATAAGCACTGTTATTTACCCTCAAGAAGCTTAAATCTCAGAGAATGAAATATACAACTCAGCAACAGTTAGAAAGATACAAGCCAGTGTTGAGAAATATGCAGAGTGGGAAATAAGCTCCAGCACATGGGGTAGCGGAGGAGAGAGTGTCTAACTGTATGAGATGAATTAGAAGCATGAATTAGAAGCTTAGAAAGTCCTGCAAGAAGAACCCAGTTGAAACACCAATTGAAACAGATTTATATCGGGCATATCACATCAGTCAAAAAGCAGTATCAAGGACCAATTAGTAAAAGGGAATGATCCTGCGGGGGAAACAGGACACACAGCAGACTCATAGAACAGCAGCACTCCTGCCTCAGAATCAACCCTTGGGACATTCGGATCTGGCTAAAAGGTCCATGGGAGTCTCACAGGCATGGAAAGCCATGACACGGTGGCAAAAAAACAATCTAAATGAAAGATCCTGGTGAACAAGACCCCAGCAGAAGGAATAGGCCATCAAGGAGAGAAGCGCCTTTCTCTGAAGGGAGGAAGGAACCTCCACTGTGATACGGCCTTGACTAAACAAGTTCAGAGTCGGTGAACTCAAGAGGCTTCCATAGCCTAGACAGCTCATAGCAAGAGTCTCGGGTGATTGCTGACGTCATAAATAAGAGTGCCAATTGTTAAATCAACAACGGGAGTCACTGGGTACATGCTCCCCATGTAGGATCTCTGTCCTTAACGTGTTCTACTATGAAACTTAAAAACAACACTACTAGTCAAACAATACCCTATACCTTGTGCGGTTGTGTGAGTGCAGTCTGTTGAAATCCTTGCTTAGTACATACTAAGTTGATCTTCAGTATATGAAGGTAATTGAAAATGAAACTCGATGAAGGGTGGGATGGGAGAGGGAGTGGGAGAGGGGAGGGCCACGGGAGGGAGGGAGGCTGGGGGGGGGGGAAGCCACAACAATACAAAAGTTGCACTTTGTAAATTCACATTTATTAAATAAAAAAAAACTATATAACAAACAAAAAAAGGAAAAAGAAAAAAAAAGAACTTTAAAAAAAAGAATACTATGTGTACTGTTTTTGTACTATATACACTGCAGGATTGCTACATAATGCTGGATATAATTTGTTCTTCCATGTTTTATGCCCTGGTACCTTCTTTGAATCACTACTCTTGTGCTTTGGAATCATTATTAAATAAAATAAGGACTACAGAAACACATACACACACACACACACACACACACAGAGGACTAATTAGTAGTGTATACAATACTAGGCCAACAATAGAAACGTGACTAGTATTTGCTTACTGTCTGATGCAGTAAGGAAATACGGCAATAAATGAGTGCTACTACACTGTGAATCATTGAATACTATATGTAACATAAAGACACACAAGGGCTTTGGTATGTTAGCATGAAACTACCTTTAACTGAACTCTGCTACAATCTCTTGACCTTCTTAAAAATAATTGCATAATTAAAAAGTAAATGACAATGATAAGGTATGAGAAATATGCAGGTGGGAAAACTGCACTGATCCCAACGTGACCTACATAATTCAAGTTTACGGTAGCCAATTATCACCTTTGACAGGTTAGTCCTGTAAATCAGGCTAGAGAAGTCTTACTACTGACCAAATGTCTAATTTAGGACTAAAATCAAGTACATACAAGAATTAAACATTTTTGACAGCTGTTTGGCATGCCTTTCTCCCAGTTAATTCCTGGAATTCAACCTCAAAGTTGTCAGGTTGATACTACTACTATTGTGAAACCCAGAAAGGCACCTGGTCCATCTTTATGATTAGTGGTTACAGCACTTTTTCCTAAAATTTGGCAGCAACACTGTATTTGTTCATATCTATTAATTTCAAAAATTGTGTATTTCATATAATAAAATTCATTAACATTTTCCACATTGAGTGTAATTATCAACATGTTCAGGCAGTTGATTTTTATGAGTGATACTATTTCAGAGTTTTGCAAATAAATTACTGTATTATATTCTAGTTCTGCAATATGTAAAATGCTATTTACTTTTTATTAGTTTCACATAAAATTATTTTTCTAAGAATTTTTATTTTGAAATAATTTCAAATGAATTGAAAATCACAATAGAATAAATGGTCTCTTTTATTCCCTGAATCACTTGAAAGCACAAAATGATGTCCCATCATACATTAATACTTTGATGAGTAACTTTTTATTTATTTATTTGAGAGGCAGAGTTACAGACACACACACACACACACAGAGAGAGAGAGAGAGAGAGAGAGAGAGGTCTTCTATCTGCTGGTTCACTCCCCAAATGGCCACAATGGCTGGAGTTGGGCAGATCTGAAGCCAGGAGCTTCTTCCTGGTCTCCTATGTGGGTGCAGGGAGCCAAGCATTTGGACCATCTTTCACTGCCTTCCCAGGCCATAAGCAGAGCTTGATCAGAAAAGGAGCAGCTGGGTCATGGAACTGGCACCCATATGGGATGCCAGCACTACAGGCAGAGGCTTAACCTACTGCCACAGCATCAGCCTGATAGATAACTCTGGAAAAGAGCATTCTCCTAAAATCCTAAATAAGCAACACAACTCTCAAAATCAAGAAATTAATATAGGGATATCCTACCTTCTTATCCTTAGACTCCATTCAAGTTTTGAAAATTGTCTGAATTATTTCCTATGGCTAGCTTCATGCTATGCATTTTTGGCAAAAAGTCACAAAAGTAATGCCATATGTTCTTCACAATGTGTCAGCACATGATTCTGACTTGTCTCATAGCGTTAATTTGGAACACTTGATTAATTGAACCAGCATCTGGAAGTTTTCTACAGTGTAAAGTTCCTTTTATTCCTTTTTGTTAATAAATATTTTGTGGAAAAGTATTTTGAAGTTATGTAAACATCCCATTTCTTGACAACATTCTATCATTATTTTTAGCAATCACTGATTGTTTAGACAGAATTTAATATAATGGTTATGAAATGGTGTTTTTTTTTTATTCTATCACTTTTTCTTTTCTTTTTTTTTCAGGCAGAGTGGACAGTGATAAAGAGAAACAGAGAGAAAGGTCTTCCTTTTCCGTTGTTTTTTTTTTTTTCTTCCTTTTCCCCAGTGGCCGCTGCGGCCGGTGCACCACGCTGATCCAAAGCCAGGAGCCAGGTACTTCTCCTGATCTCCCATGCAGGTGCAGGCCCAAGAACCTGGGCTATCCTCCACTGCACTCCCAGGCCACAGCAGAGAGCTGGCCTGGAAGAGGGGCAACTGGGACAGAATCCGGCGCCCCGACCGGGACTAGAACCATGTGTGCCGGCGCTGCAGGCAGAGGATTAGCCTAGTGAGCCTCAGCGCTGGCCTATCACTTTTTCTACAATTATTTATAGGTATTCTATTTCCATATATATAGATGTTATCTCCTCATTTCTGCATATATTTGTATGCACAAAATATTTATTTAATTCAATGATTAGCCATTACTATCCTCATTTACTTAATGTTCAAACTATGCCAGGTTAGCCAGTTAAATCCCCTTCAAGGTGTTGTATGCCTTTTTTTTTATATCCATATTATTCTTTACATGTTTGGAATGAGGTCTATCATTTATTTGTATGTTTTCTGTTTGTTCCCTCCATTTTTCATTACTATGCTTCTCTTTTTCTGCCTTCATTGAACCATTTGAACATATTTTATTGTTCCATTTTGGTTTTTTATGTAATTAAAAAAGTTTATTTATTTGAAAGGCAGACTGACACAGACACAGATGAGGTGGGGGGAGAGAGAGAGAGAGAGAGAGAGAGAGAGAGAGAGAGAGAGAGATTTTCAATCCATGGTTTACTCCTTAAATGCTGCCAACAGCCAGGGCTGTGCCACAACTGGGCCAGGAACTCCATTAGGGTCTTCTGTGTGAATGGCAGGAACCCAAGCACTTGGGCCAATTTCTGCTGCCTTGCAAGCACATTAGCAGGAAGCTGGACTGGAAGTGGAGTATCCAACACTCAAACCACTGTACTCTGATTTGGGATGCAGGCATCTCAGGTGATGGCTTAATACACTGTTTCCCAATGCCTGCCCCTCTTTGTAATGTTTAGTGGCTTTAGATATTACAGTAAACATATATTTCAGTCTACTTACAAAAAATGTATTTTGAAGTACAGAAAGCACCATATGTGACCCTGTATTCTCTCCCTTTATTTTGTGGTTGTTGTATATGTTATGTTTACATACACTGAAACCCTATCATAATGTTTTTAACTGTGAAACATTTTTTCAGAATACGATGTTCTTTAAGTTTCCTTCTGGAATCATTTCCCTTCTGTTTGAAGAACTTCCTTTAGAAACTGTTTTGGAACAGGCTTGGTGCCAATAAATAGTCTTGATTTTCTTGTTCTGAGGGTGTCATTTCACAATTATCCTGAAGGATATTTTTTCTGGCTATTGAATTCTGAACTTTTTTAAGCACCTTAAAAATGGTATACCATTTCCTCCTGATCTCAAGGATTTCTGATGATAAATCAAGTTACTTGAATTGTTTTTTTAATTAAACTTTTACTTGCTTTCATTTTTGAAAGGCAGAGATATCTTCCATTTGCTCCTCAAATGCTTGCAAAAGCTGGAGGTAGTCAAAACTGAAGCCAGGAGCTAGGAACTCAATCTGCTTCTCTCATGTGGGTGGCAGGGATTCAATTACTTGAGCCATCAACTGCAAGTTACTTAATCTCTTGCTTCCCAGGGAGTGCATTAGCAGGAAGCTGGATCGGAAGTGGAGCAGGTACGTGAGCCAGGCACTCTGATAGAGTACGGGCGTCACAAGCAGCTTCTTTATCACTGTGTCAAATGTCCATCCCATTGTTTTTGTATAAGTAATGTGTCATTTTCTCTGGCTGCTTCTACCTTCTGAAAGCTGTAAGCTATGCCCTTCACCAAATTTGAAACCTTTTAGCCATTATTACTTCAAATACTTTTTTACTTTTTTTTTTTTGAAAGGCAGAGTTATAGAGACAGAGAGATCTTCCATCTGCTAGTGTACTTCCTAAAGGGCTACAACAGCAGGAGCTGGGTTGATCTGAAACTAGCATCCAGATGCTTCTTCCAGGTCTCCCATGCGGGTACAGAGGCCCAAGTACTTGGGTCATCTTCCGCTGCTTTCCCAGTTGTGTTAGCAGGAAGCTGGATTGGAAGTGGAGCAACTGGGACTTGACCCAGTGCCCATATGGGATGCCGGCTCCGCAGGTGGTAACTTTACCTCTGCAGCACAGCACAGGCCCCTCAAATACTTTTTAAAAATTGTACTTTTTCTGCTGTCTTCTGGCTCTCTGATTACATCAAGTTTTTAATGTCTCATGGTTCATTATGTTATTCTATCTTGTTGTCCCGTTATTCAGATTAATGATTTCCATGAATCTGTTCTCAAATTTCCTGGAGTCTTTCATCTGCTATTTCTGTGTTTCTATTGAATCCATTCAGTGAAACTTTACTCCAGCTTTTTTTTTTCAGTTCTAAATTTTTCATTCACTTCTTTGTTGTATCTTCTAATTCTATGCTGAGATTGAGTGTTCATTAAAAAAAATTTTTGAAAGGTAAAGTGGTGAAGGTGGGGGAAGAAGGGAAAAGAGAGAGAGAGAGAGAGACGTGTGTGTGTATGAGAGAGAAAGAGTAAGAGTGAGAGTGAGAGAGTGAGGGAGAGCAAGAATAGAGAAAGAGAAATATCTTCCATCTGCTGGTTCACTCCCCAAAGGGCAACAACAGCTAGGGCTGGGCCAGACCAAAGACAGGAGCTAGGAATTCCATCAAATACTTGAGCCATCATCTACCATTTCCCAGGCACATTAGCAGGGAGCGGGATCTGAAGCAGTAGTAGCCAGGACTCAACTGGCACTTTGATAAGGGATACAGACATCTCAAGCAGCATTGTAACCTACTAGACCACAATGCCTGTCCTTCAGTGTTTACTCTTAGAGTATTTTTGTAATAGCAGTTTTTAAGTCTTTGTCCAGTAACTCCAAGATCTGTGTTACCTCAGCATTGGCATGGTTGCCTTTTCTCTTTCCATTAGTAAGTCTTCCTTCCTTTTCCTTTCTGGTTTCTGTGTATTTATTAATTTTGGGTTTGTATCTCGCATATTTGGAATATAATGAAAGTTGAGTCCTATTTTAATTGTAAAGAGAGGATTTTAGTGAGAAATCAACCTGTTTGGATCCAGGCTAAAGCTTCTATCTGGTCTTACGGAGGTTGTAGTTCCAATGGCAAGTTGTTTTCAAAACTTTGCATTTTTACTTAGATCTATCCCACATTTGTACCACCCAGTAGCCAATCTTTGGACTTGAGTCATAATCTATCCTGTAGTTCAGTTTTCAGTCAGTTTGAGACTCTTGTTGAAGGGTAAGCTTAGGAGTTCATAAAACAACTTTATGGGGTTGATTTCCCAATCTCCTCCTCCCAATCTCACCAGTACTTCTTAGTTCGGAGGCTACCCTTTTTGATCTTCCAGCAAGAAAATGGGGATTTATGAACCTCCTCCCCTTTGCTACATACTTCCTGTGAATGCACTCCTGTCTGGGGCCAAGCAGTGGGCCGACAAAACAAAAGCATAACCAAAAGACACAACCATGTCTGTAATTAAGAAAACATTCTGGAGCCGGTGCTGTGGTTCACTTGGCAAATCCTCCGCCTGCGGCGCCGGCATCCCATATGGGTGCTGGTTCTAGTCCCAGCTGCTCCTCTTCCAGTCCAGCTCTCTGCTGTGGCCGGGGAAGGTAGTAGAGGTTGGCCCCTCCACTTGCTTGGGCCCCTGCATACGAAAGGGAGACTAGGAAGAAGCACCTGGCTCCTGGCTTCAGATCGGCACAGCACCGGCCATAGCGGCCATTTGGGGAGTGAACCAACGGAAGGAAGACCTTTCTGTCTCTCTCTCTCTCACTGTCTATAACTCTACCTGTCAAATAAAAAAAAAGAAAACATTCTTAGCTATAGTTGTTACTTGTAGTCACAGACCTTAAAAATCCACAAATTAAATAGACTTATATTTCTATATTGTATTATGCATTTCAAGACTATCAATACTAATCAATCATTTTCTCAAAATATTGGTAAAAACCCATGGGAAAATCAGGAAGTCCACACCAGATCCTTGGACACAATCTGGATGTTTGGTTATATTTTAAAAACTTAACATGTCTGATGCTTCAGAATCTCCCCCTTCTCTTGCCACATGTATGAAGAAGAGGAAGGAAAAAGACTTCAGAAAATTTATACTTAACAATCTGTCTTGGAAAAAAATTAAAAGAATTCAAAGAGCATTAATTTTCAGCCATTTGCCTCTATTTTTATATTTAATATAATTATTTAAGAAATAAGTACTTTCAAATTGTCCTATTTCAATTTATAAAAATCTTCAGTTTTATTGAAAAGTTATGTAGAGGTTAAGAATATTGTCTGGACCCAGATCTTCTAGACTCAAAATCTGAGTTATTCCATTTATTTGCATTATAACCTTAGGCAAGTTACTTAACCTCTTTTGCCTCACTTACATCATCTATAACAGGCGCTGACAAACATTTTACGTAAAAGGCCCTGAAAGTAAATATTTTATGCTTTATGGGCCACATATGGTTTTTCTGTTGCTTTTTTTTTTTTTTTTTTTTTTTTTACTAGCAACCATTTGAAAATGCAAAATCACTATTAGCTCAAGGGTTGTACAAAAAGTTTTTTAGTAGTTTCTGACCCTTCATTCATAACAGACAATAAAAGCATTTACTTCCTAGGGTTATGATGATTAAATTATTGAATGCATGTAGAGTGCTTTCAAAGTATGGGCACACAGTAAAAATTATAAAAGTGTTTATTATTGTCACTACTAGCCAAATTTTATTTACAAAACACCAATTATTACTGGATGACTTCTAGTATTATTCTACGACTTGAAATTTGAAGAAAGATGTATCTTTCCTGATTTATTCTAAATTGCCAGAAGACACATTTAACACCGTAGCATTGAAATTGAGTGCACAGAGGAACATTCAGTAATGGTTCTGAAGTAGTCCCTTACAAATCTGAACAGAGGCAACCGTACTGAGAAAGATTCACTCCAGTGTAAGAAAAAAAAAGAACCAACGTACCTGAAACATTCAACTGAACGCAATAACCATTTCTCAATGATACAGTATTTCTCTCCAGTCACATAAGTACACACTTCTATTCATTTAGATAAGCTTCTAATATTTATTGTTTAAACTAATAAAGGGAATAATTAGCAGAAAACAATTACATAGCTAACATGTGATGGTTTCTAACTGTACCAGCTACAAGACAAATTTACCTTAAGTATTGCAATGTACTGACCATTTATGTTCTCTCAAAATTCACATATTGAAATCCTAACTGCTAGTGTAATGATATTAGAAGGTGAGGTCTTTTGGAGGTAATAAAGTCATAAAGTTGGAGCCCTGTGAGGATATAACAGGATCAGATCAATGCCTTTATAAAAGGGACTCCCAAGAGTTCTTCTTGCACCTGCTTTCTGCCATGTGAGATTCCAGAAGGCAGTCTGCCACTTGAAAGTTGGCTCTCATCACAACCCTACTATGTTGGCACCCTGATCTCAGGCTTCTAGATACCAGAACTGTGAGAAATACATTTTTTTAAAAAAATATTTACCTATTTACTTGAGAGGCAGAGACAGAGAGAGAGGTCTTCCATTGGCTGGTTTACTCCCCAGATGCCACAATGGCTGCAGCTGGGCCAATCTGAAGACAGAAGCCAGGAGCCTTCTCCTGGTCTCTCATGTGGGTGCAGCAGGGGCCTGAGCACCTGGACCATCTTCCACTGCTTTCTAGGCACGTTAGCAGGGAGCTGGATCAGAAGAGGAGCAGCTGGGACACAAACCTGTACCTATATGAGATGCTGGCACCAGAGGCAGAGGCCTAACCTACTACACCACAGTGCTGGTGCCATTTTGGTTGTAAGCTACCTAATAAATAGCAGCCTTAACCGTCTAAGAAAACTAAACTGGTCTTTAGAGTAACTGAATATATAAGATTACTTTAAAAAAATCATCAAAAATGGAATTAAAATATAATTTTGGTATTAAAAAGTTTGAAATCCATGCATTTGAAATGTCTTCAAAAAGTTCACATAGGGGTGGGCATCAGGCTTAGCACTTAGGACACTGGTTGGGATGCCTGTGCCCCATGTCAGAGTGACTGGCTTCAAATGCATCCTCCACTCCCAATTCCACCTTCCTTCTAGGGCACTCCCTGGGAGGCAGCAGGTAATGGCTCCAGTGGTTGAATGGCTACCGCCCACACAGGAGACCTGGACTGCGACCCTGGCTTGTGGCTTCAGCCTGACCCAGCCCTGGCCAGTATGGGCATCTGGGAGTGAACCAACAGATGAGAGTTCTGTTTCTCTCTGTCACTGAAATTAAAAAACACAAATTAAGAAAATTACTCTTGGAAAATTCATATGATGAAAAAAGTATGCGTGGATTTCAAAATTTCCTGAAACAAAATAAAACTTATGTTTTAATTCCATTTCTCCATGAACTGTCTGAAGTAATCTTGTATTTACGGAATTAATAATATGTCAAAAGTTTCAGAGAAAGAAATATCTCAATCAGAAGACAGTTTTATAATACTTAATAGACAATCTATGAGTGAAAAACAAATACATAAAACTCAACTTTCATGGGGCAAGTGTTGTGATGGTGTAGTGGGTTAAGCTACTGCTTAGGACCCCTGCATTCTATATAGGAGGGTCGGTTTGAATCCTGGCTGCTCTGCTTCCCATCCAGCTTCCAGTTAATGAATTCTGGGAGACAGCAGATGATGGCTCAAGTGCTTGGACCTCTGCCATATACCTGGGAGACGAGAATGGAGTTCCTAGATGTTGGCTCTTGCAGGCATCTGGGGAATGAATCTGTGGATAGAAGATCTTTCTCTCTCCACCAATTGATGAAGATAAATAAACAAACATTATAAAAAGCTTAGCTCTTGTGCCTTATTCAGCACAAGCTGGATACGGCCACATACAAATATTTAAATAGAAAATGTAACAGGTTAAGTTTTCAATGTTTTACAAGGTGTTATATTTAAATACAGAGTTTAGTGAATGAAACTTCATAACCCAGTGATTTCTAAACATTAAAAAAAAACTTGCTTAAGCTTTAATGATATACTTTAATTATATGTTAAATACAAATGCAATAATCTCAATGTACACATACTTATATGGCATAATGTGAATGCACTGTTGCCAAACTTGCCTCTATATCATCTTTACATGAAAATATAGAGTAGAAATGGCTGATAGTGATTATAAATTAGATCTTAAATATCATGTAAACAAATGGAAAAGTTAGTACTTCTAAATATCTGCTTACGAATGAATTACTGTAGCTTGTGATATTCAACTTTTAGCAATGATTTTTCAGTTATTTACACAAAGTTCAAAATTTAAATAGTATTAATCACCATAAAACAAAAAGTCCTTGGTCTCTGACTTACCCCCTATCATTGGCATCTGATCTCCCTCCCCAGTGAGAGACTTTTTTCAATTATTTTAGTTATTATTCAGGCAGATCCATCTATATTTATAATATCTGTAATGCTTCCATCCCTTCAATCATCCACTTTAAAGAAAATAGCTTGGTTCTGAATGCCAGAACCACTGCTTACTAGTTCTGTGACCTTAGGAAAATTACATAACCTCCTTGTAAGGCCTCAGTTTCTAATGCATAAAACAGAAATAACTGAACCCAACCATAAGGTTATTGTGAGGGTTATATTATATACAATTCTGTATGTGTGGTAATACCTAGTTCACAATATTGTGATTATATGGTGATACCTGCTATTATTACCTTATAGTAGATGAAGATTTGAAATCTCAATCAACCCTTTCTCCATCCTCCTAAAATAGTTACAGCATATCAACTCTGTAAAAAACCACATTCAGTGTTTTCATCATCATGTCCTTTCTATATCTGAGGCAATTTTAGCTTAATGAGATTCTCAGTTTGCAACCTCATCAAAACAATTTAAGAGAGGCTGGCAAGCTAGCTAAGGTGGTAGATCACTGGAACGTTATGGATAGTTTTCAATTTGCCAAATGCCAAATTATTGATACTTCTGGACTTAGGGAAACTGGATTAGAGAACTTCAGCTGTAGTTTTAAAATTATTTTATCAACATCTGTATAAAGCATACACTACCAGTGTAGTTACCATATATAATGTATCTTTATTATTCACATTTTTTGCCTTTTGTTATCATTATCATAGCTAAGGATATTTAAAATGTAACATTGTAAATTATAGTTTTTTTTAATATGAAATGTTTTCCAGTATTGACATCACTGCTCTAAAAATTGCTTCTCAGTGATTAAAGTGAAAGCTTCTATTTAGAATTTGCAATTAAAATGGTCTTAAAGTTGTGAGAAGTAACACAATTTATGGGTCTATGTCTAAACTTCTAAAGAACATTTATGTAGCAATTTATGCTCAGGAAAAATGCAATGTGTTGAGTCACAATTCATGTTAACAAAGTAGTGAATTGAAGGCATTTTAGAAAAAAAAAGTCTTTCTGTCTCTCTCTCTCACTCTCCACTCTGCCTGTCCAAAAAAAAAAAAGTCAGTAATAATAATTACTGAAGTAAAATATTAATTCATTTTTATACTTCTTAATCTTAAAATGCAGCATTTTCACTCAGCCAATGAAATAAAATTTGATACTATATATGAAAACATTCTCAAATATCCCTCATTAAATTTTAAGTTCTCTGAAGACAAGGAGTGTCTTAACTACTTTGTATCATCATTGCCTAAGATAAGTCTGCTAGATATAGAGATATTCAATATACATTGAAAAAACAAGTTCAGCTTCATCTGGTCTCAGAACATTTATATGTGCTTGACAGTAAACCACCAAATGCCATTTTAACAAAATATTATTCTTTTCAGCATAAACAAAGCACACTAGTTGGTATACTTCATTTTTATGTTTTATTGATGATGATATACAGTAAAAATTTAATATATATTAATTACCAAGTCCCTTATAAATATTTAAAATCTTTTTCGTATGTACAATTCATATTGCAAAGTTATGCCACAAACTAAATTTCTGAAGAAAATTCAAAGATAAAATGTACTATAAGATATCATAAATCATGATGAAATATTGAGATGGCTTATAACTCTGACTCTTAAACATCCTAATTATAATACAATATACATCTTTAACAAGAAGTTGGTAATTCTATAGTCCTTTTGAGAGAAGATTTAGTTTCCATATAATTAATGGTCACATTAGCATACCTGAAGTTTTATGTTCTTACAAAGCTCATTCAGAGTCCATAAATGCAAGCAGAACATTACAAAACATTCTTGGATGCACACACATTTAAAAAAAATTAAGGTATTCAGTTAGCCTTATAATATTCCTTGAAGTCAGAATTTCTGAGGTTTCCAAATACTACTATTTCACGTCTTCACAGCCTGGATCTGATCTGGTAACAAAAAACAAACAAAAAATATGTCTCTACATGGCAGAAATTACTTTTTAAAGTAATCAAAGAGACATCTATGTAACATGGTGGAATTGTATCTACATACCTATTTTTAAAATGATGTTTTTTAAAGAACAATTCATAATATAGTTTTTATTTTTTACTGAAGTTGCGCATGCATATAAAAAGTCAGTTCTACAAGACTGTATGAGAAACAGCAGTCCCTTGCTTCATCTCCCTTCCCTATTTTCAAAGACAACAACCTCCAACTCCCCTCTAGGTGATTATTTGTGTATCTCTAAATATGTTTTTATTATTATTTCTTGAAATGTCAGTTCCTTCAATGTACCATGAGGTATCACCTCTCTCACATATCCACGCTGCTCTTGGGCAACCCTCATAAATAGTTGTAATACTCTCAATTCTCTTTAGTAACTTATGTAGTCATTATCAATATGACCATGTGATGATACAGGTGGTTTACTATCTGCTCCATTTTTGTTTTCCCTGGAGTTAATAACTGTCCTCCTGCCCCAATGCAACCCATCTGTTCAGTTTATATGCTTAACACTAATTGAATCCCCTACTCCCACAGTTTAAACTTTTATGCTTACAAAGCACATCAACAATGCATCAATTTCATCTTCTTGAACTGTCCCTTACAGTATTATTAAACTCAACAATCTAGACCAATTCATTGTTTCCCATGCCTGCCAACTGTTCTTTGAACAAATCTCCTTCAACTATCATTTTTTTTTTTTAAAAAGGTTTATTTATTTTATTTGAAAGGCAGAGTTACAGAGCAACAGGTAGAGAGAAAGAAACAGAGAACCAGAAAGAGGGAGAGAAATCTTTCATCTGCTGGTTCACACCCCAAGGGGCCACAATGACCAGAGTTTAGACAGGCTGAAGTCAGGAGCCTGGAAATCCATTAGGATCTCCCAGGTGGGTGTAAGGGCCAAAATACCTGGACCATCTTCTGCTGTTTTCCCAGGCACATTAGCAGGCAGTTGGGTTAGAAGTGGAGCTACCCAAGAGTCAGACTGGGGCTCATATGGAATGCTAGCATCCCAGGCAGACCCTTAACTCTGCACAAAGTCAGCCCCTCCTTTCACTATCATTCTAAGATTTCCATTAACATCCATAGGATTCCTTTCCCCACTCTCTTGTGCTGGTTTTCCTATTTTATGAGATCTTATTTTTTTCTTTCTGGTCTATTCACTTGTTTTTCAGGAGTAGTCTTCTCAGTTTCCAGTACAGTAAAAGGCATAAAAAGCAAATTCTTGAGAGACTTTATATAGCTAAAGATGTCTATTCTACTCATATAATACATTGATGCTACCTGGTAGTATAATTCCATTGTTTTCTCCTTGGTTGTTTCCACGCATTTCTCATTTATCCCAAGGCATATACATTGTTATTTTGATTAAGCTGATGTTTTTAAGTTTCCTTATGTTTTATATGAAACCGCTTACTTTCTCAGGGTGGCTGTAGAATCTTCCATCATTTTTGGCACTGGAGTGGGAATATTTTTACCCATTGCTTTGCTATCTCCAGAAGCTTTTCTACTGAAAATTCATCATTCATTTTTGAAAAATATTGTTTGATAATTTGCTGTCCTCTGTTTGTGTTCTTTCTGAAAATTCTATTAGTTAGAGCTAGGGTCTCCTGAACATGAATCTTTATTGTCTTTGTTTACAATTTTTTACTTTTTGCATTTTTGCTGTACTTTTTGGAAGACTGCCTCTTTTTTACTTCTTTTTTATTGAGTTTTCCATGTCGACTCTTATTTTCCAATAACATTTTTTATTCTTATTTTCCAATATCTCATATTTTTGTTCTTTGTTCCTCCTCAAGTAGTATCTTAGTCTAATTCATGAAAGTGACACTTTTGGGGCCGGCGCTGAAGCGCAGTGGGTTAAAGCCCCAGCGTGTAGTGTTGTCATTCCATATGGTCACAGTTTGAGTCCTGGATGCTCCATTTCTGATCTAGCTCCCTGCTAATGTGCCTGGAAAAGCAGTGAATGATGGCTCAAATCCTTGGGCCCCAGCACCCATGTGGGAGACCTAGAAGAAGGTCCTGGCTCCTGATTGGCTCAGCTCTGGCTTTGTGGCCTACTGGGGAGTGAACCACAGTCTCTATTTCTCTCTGTAACTCTTTCAAATAAATGAATCTTTAAAAAAAGAAACACCTTATTTTATTTCTTTGAAGAAATGTTTTCCAAAAAACTAAGTTTTTAAAAATGTTCTCACTACATAAATTCTACTTCCTATAACATGTATTTGTTATATTCCCCATCTTTCATGTTTTCACTCTGAAATGCTTGGTGATCCTTTGCCGCCAGGTCAGAGGTATAAATGCACACTAAAAAGTTTATTGGAATTTGGGGTTGTGTGGAAAGCTTGTCAACTATATGGTCTTTATTCTACTGTGCCTGGTTAAGCCATTCCAATATTAGTACCTTTAGTTCTTTTCTCTCAGGCTGGTGTGATTTCACAAAGGTGACTCTTGCTATCTCTTGCCTACTGTCAGTGTTTTTTTGGGAGAGGTAGAAGGTAGAGGAGGATTGCAATATTCAGTATGAAAGCTTTCAATTACTCCTCACTCTCATTTCAGTACCACAATACACAGTTGTGTCTGGTGTGTTCCAGTTCAGCGATGCATTGTTTGACTTCAGAAAATAAATCTTCAAACTTCTTTTGTGAGGGAAGATGTATAACTATGTCTTTTTTCAGCCCCATCTTCATTATTATTTTCAATTTCTACTAATTTCTGAAAGTTGGAGGGGATCTGTAATGTAAATTAGGCTACATTCCAACTTTTCCCAGTGCCAGCAGAGAATTTAGTTTTCCAAGGTTAAGTCATTTAGCACCCATCAAATATCTAGCTTCCAAAATCTGTTTGCCATTTGCACTAATTCCCTGCTTTTTGTCCAGGTAAATGGATGTCTTTTTAGAAAGTTCCTTTATTGTTAGTGAGATCTGGGGAGGAACTACAACTGAGTATGTATGTTCAATGTTATATTTTTTCAATGGAATACCCATATGTATAGTTTATAAAAATTGACTAACAAAACTAAGTATGTGTGTTCCATCTTCTATTTTTCAATGGAATACCCATATGTATAGTTTATAAAAGTTGACTAACAAAACTTGGAGCATTATTAACTTTTTCCATACAGATAAAGTGATAAAATGAATGTTTCATTAGTTTGTGGGAAGATTTCTTTTGAAAAATAATCTTATTTGAAACTTTAGAGCTAGAAAACTGACAGTTGTCCAATAGGTTCAACTAATTCTATAGTGGTTTAAAAAATGCTTCATAGTTTATTCAGGTGCTCTTTTTTTGGATCATTATACATGCACAATTATTGAGAATCTTTCCAAAAGATATCAGAATCATGCCATTAAAAATGTCATTTAATGGGGCTGGTGTAATGGCATAGTGGGTAATGCTGCTGCCTGAAACACTGGCATCCCATATGGGCGCCAGTTCATGCCTTGGCTGCTTCATTTCCAATCCAGCTTCCTCCCAATGGCCTGGGAAAGGCAGCAGAGGATGGCTAACATGCCTGGGCCCATGATATGGGGTATTCAGATGAACCTCCTGGCTTCTGGCTTCTGGCTGGCTCAGCCCTGGCCTTTGTGTGCACTTGAGTAAACCAGTGGATGGAAGACCACTCTGTCTGTCTGTCTGTCTCTCTCTGTAAATCTTTCAAATCAATAAGTAAATTTTTTAAAAAAAGTAATTTAATATTTCACCAGAAAGCTTCCCAACTTAAGCTTAACATAGATTAAATTGGTCCAATTAGAACCACAAGCTTTCTTTTCTTTTTTTTAAAGTATGCTAGGAAGTTTCCGAATTCTAGAAGCAAAATGAATAGATATAAATTCAGAACATCTTTTATAGTTAGATGTACATAAATGCCTTTGGCTAACAAGAGTTCTAGGAGCCGGCACCGTGGCTCTATAGGCTAATCCTCCGCCCACAGTGCGCCGGCACACCGGGTTCTAGTCCTGGTCGGGCGCTGGATTCTGTCCCGGTTGCCCCTCTTCCAGACCAGCTCTCTGCTATGGCCAGGGAGTGCAGTGGAGGATGGCCCAGGTCCTTGGGCCCTGCACCCACATGGGAGACCAGGAGAAGCACCTGGCTCCTGGCTTCGGATCAGTGCAATGTGCTGGCCGCAACGCGCTGGCCGCGGCAGCCATTGGAGGGTGAACCAATGGCAAAAGGAAGACCCTTCTCTCTGTCTCTCTCTCTCACTGTCCATTCTGCCTGTCAAAAAAATTAAAAAATTAAAAAATTAAAAAAAAAAGAGTTCTAGGTACAGACTACTTGCCTGTATTTACTGCTATTTATTTTGAAAAATAGGTTCTTATCTCTTTTCAAATCTAGAAACAGTTGCGAACATTAAACTATAAACTATTTACTACTATACAGGAAATCTGAACAAAGGACCTCCTATATAAAACCAAACTGGTACACTTATTATTTATGTACTTAGTTTCCTGCTCTATTAAATAGTGTGGTTAGGTAAGAGTGTAAATGTAACAATGTATTAAGTCTTTTTTATGCAAAGTACTGAAAATCTGTATTATCTAACTTAATCCAACATAATTTATGATATTTAAAAAACTTTTCAGAAGAAAAAAATTCTCTTCACACAACAGTAAGGTATGTCTCCTAACATGTGAAGGGGTTAAATAACAAGTAGTGGGAAAAAATGCTTTACTCAAAAGCTTAGGCTCTTTTTACTGCTATTCCATGCAGCTTATATAACAACATAGGGATACCACCACTTACCTTGCAGAGGACTGTTGTAAAGGGTACATAAAGTGACATGGCAACAAAAGGACACAAAGTATTTCTAATAATGTGTCCTCCTTACAAAGATTTGAGAGATAAATAATGGATCCAAAAAGTCAAAGAAACAAAGGTAGCAAGACTACAATTGGCTATGTGTACTCTGATATTGGATTGTTACTGACACCTAGTGGCCCAATTGCTAAAGACAAAATCAAAGAGGGGGGAAAAAAGGAGAGTTACAATTTAAAATCCAGATGACTATCAATCTGCTTTCAGTAAGTTCTGTGGTCTGAATTAGTTTATTATGATGAGTGGATAATAGGGTTTCCATCTATGCTATTATCTTTATTGTGAGCAATGGCAATCACTTGTAAAATAAATCAGGGCTGAAATTATGCTTCTGGTATCTTCTCAGGAATGTTACCCTGCAATCTGCTTCTGGTGGGAATCCAACCTATAAAACTGACCATTTCTTTATCATAGTCTAAGAACAGAAGTAGGCAAGTTTACAGAAAAATCCCACCATTTCTGCTGAGATGCACTACACATTTTCAATTTTCACTTAATTGTAAAATATGTCTAGAATGCAGTTTAGCAGTGTCATATGACTGTATCGATATATAAAAGAGATCAAAATATAATAGCCTGTGCAGTTAACTAAAAACACCATACTTTACTAAAAACAAAACGAATATTTATGAAATACATATTTAGTACTTTGAACCAAAGAAATACTATGTCTTCTGAAGTATGGGCTACTCTTAGATCTACCAGGATTTGTGATATATCCCTCCTATTGTTTCTAGCATGCAGAAGGAAAAAAAAATACACATATCAGGCATTAGAAAGTTTAAAAAGAAGTTAGGGTAGGAAGATTCTAAATAAGAACAGTCTTCAGTTGTTCTCACAATTGAAAATTTTTGATCTGGCCATCCAGACTCTGCAATAAGGACCTATATAGAACTTGGGTTCATTCACTTCTATCTATTGCTTTGTGTGTTTCAAGTCATTCTGGTGGCTATTAAATAAGGTAACCTTAAGAAAAATGATTTATCTTGATTTTACTCCCTTTTATAGTAAGCTTGTATCAACCTAGGATAAGTATTTTGATAAATAACAAACAGAACTGTAAATATTATACATAAAATATCAACAGATTACCAGTATTTACAACACTAAATATGGTAAAGGTTGTATAAGCATGCCATGGAGCTTTATATGAAGTATAATGTGATTCTTAAAAGATACATGCCTTTCAGACTTATTTTTAGTCATGGATACTACAGTCTAATCCTTGTCCCAAACTTCAAATGTGCTTTGGTACTAAGTCTGACAGAAATCTGTTGCCATAAATTGAAACTATTTTCCAGATTTTTCATACATGTTGATTGCAAAGATGCAGACATCTTATTTAAACAAGTTTTTTAGAGGAATATATTAGCAGTAAATGCAGCAAAGTTTGGATACTTACTGTACCCTTTTTTCTGATAGCAGAAATAAATGGAAACAAGAGGAAAAGAGGCAATGATATAATAAAAATAAAATGTGAAAAAGGAAGTCATATGACTGGAAAGGAAACAAAGGCTGAGAATACACAGTGCTTTGTGATGTACCTTGAAGCCAGTCTACACCTTCTTGCAATCCTTCTCCTTTTATGGCATCACTAGCACTGTAATAAAATCCACAAGAAACGTATCCATTTCATTATATCGTTCAATCACAGGAATAGAGACCTAAGTTTTGCCATGTGGCAAATTACTATATCCTAGGAATACATACCTAAGGCAAGACTGATTAAGCACCAAAACTGAATACAAATAGGAAATAAAAATGTGAGTGCTCAGGAGCAAGACATGAGAGAATTATTCACAGTTTATTTAGACATCTTCAAAAGTGTATCATTAAGGGTTACTAATTTTTGAAAAATTGCACGTAGATTGACATTAATAACAAATACGCTTTGATTCATTTTCCCAGTGGAGAAAAATTTTGTAGAGTCCATTGTTACGTTTTGTTCAGATCCAATAGTTCAACAGCATTTATTTATTAAAAATGTTGGATTTAGGTTGTAAAAGATTTATGGGATGCAGTTTTTTATTTTAAGTGGAATTTGGTATTTATAAGGTACAAACCACTTAATAATAGCTTTGGTAAGATAGTAGAATGTAAAAAATACTCAGTCTATTTCAATTATAGCTTTAAATTTATTAGCTGTAGGAACCTGGCTGAGTTACTACATTTGATCTTAGCCAAAAGGCCAAGATGTGATGAGTTACTTAATTCTTTTGTCTTTAGTTTTGGCATCTGTAAAATGGGGGAATATTAGTATTGACTAATAGTATGATTATCGTGAGAACTATAAATTTGAGGGGTGTGTATTTGAGTATGTATAAAACAAAAGAAGAGGGCCCTTCCATGGCCTTTCAGTCTTAAGAAAATAAACTTATATTCTTATGACATTTCTATATATTCATAACTTAGTTATGTAAGCCAAAATAATAAAATATACAAGACTTTTAAATTATCAAATAATCGTTTTAAGGGATACAGACTGACAGTTTCTCTTAACATACTATTATTGGTCTACTAATTCTGTGTCAAAATACAATGACTATATAGCAATTTATATTTATACATATTTATACATATGAAAGTAGATTTTCTGACTAAGGTTTCCATTATTGTGCTGAAGCATGACTTTAAAATTCAGTGAAATACCTAAAAAATTAATCTGATTCTAATCTAAAGAAAAATTACTTCCATGCAATTACTTATTAGACTAAGAATATGGCTTATATTATTTTAAGATATGAAGACAGAAAAAAAGTGTGAGATAAAACAATTATTCAAAGCAAATTACTCATTTTTATAGCAATAGCAAAACATCACGACTAAAATACTTAAGTAAAGATCAAGGTATTGATTTTCTTATATACCTAAAGTTCAAACAAGTAACTCAATGAAGAAATCCTTCTCCTCTAGTGGAGATGTCTACTATACCAAAATTCCTGCATCTGTTCCTAACAAGTCCCAAATGTCTGACTTGTACTTTTCATATAAACCATATGACCTTTACTAGAATAAATGCAGTCTTCATCATCTCTTCCAATGCCCCGTGTGTTAGACCTATTTGCCTCATCGCCTATAATTTCCCCCTGGATCACTCTGTTCCAGTCAGCCTGGACCTTCTGCTGTTCTTGGAGCACAGCAAGCAAGGCTCATCTAAGAAGAGCTTTTTCCTCACTGACCTGTCTATCTGGACTGCCATTCCCACAAACCTTTGCATTAATGTTCCCTGGATTCAATTAGGTCTCAGAGGGCACACCTCTTATTACTGTTTTTATTATTGTCTTATTTATTTTTTGTCATTCTGACCACTGACTTATTACATAAGTACATTTATTTACTTATTATCTGTCTCTCCCACAAAATAGTAAATAAGTAAATATGTATATATCATGTTAGGGACTGAGTCAAAGAATACACAAGAACAGTAACACAATCTTAAAACCAGAGTTGACTATATGTATAGCATATGGTAAAAAATAAACCAGAAAAACTTTCCTTTAATTTTCCTGTCTATATTTCTCCATGATTTTTTTTTTTTTGCATGGTAAGTTTATCTGTAACTAAGGCATGTGACAGGGGCTATTTTATCTCTGTATCACTAAACTTTACTTTCATTTCTATAATGGGAAAAGGACATATTTCAATTTTATAGGTTTTTTAATACTGCAAAAAGAAAAAATATAATAAATGAAATAATACTAATTTGAATTAGTGAAGAGATATCTGGATTGAATCAAAAGTAGTCAAAATTACAGATTCTTAAAAATATTTGGCAATCTTATAGTTCTTACAGAAAATATTGAAATATATTTCACACATCCTTATAGCATCAGGATATTAATTTTTCTCTCATAGATAAATGCTGAGATGGCACATTTGAATAAATAGATCTGTTAAAAATGCTAATTATTTTAAGTAGAAAGAGGATGTTTTACTACTTAGATCCATGTTTTCGAATGTCATATTTTCTATCAAAGTGGTTACAATACTTCAACAACAAAAATATGAAAACTTAGTCTACAGGGGCCAGTATTGTGACACAGCAGGTTAAACTGCCTCGTGTGACACCTGCATCTCATTCATGTGAGTACAGGTTCAGGTTCCAGCTGTTCCATTTCTGATTCTGCTCCCTGCTAATGAGCCTGGGAAAGCATCGGAAGAAGGTCCAAAGCACACATGTTGGAGACTTGGAAGGAGTTCCAGGCTCTGGCCTTCGGCGTGGCCCAGCCCTGGCCATTGTGGCCATTGGGGAGTGAACTAGTGGACGAAGATCTCTTTTTCTGTCTCTCACCCTCTTCGCAATTCTGCCTTTCAAATAAATATTTTTTTAAATAGACTAAAGTAGAAAGGCAATAAATTTAGGTATATTTTAGCAAAATATTAAAGTTCTATCTCAAAATGTTTATCTCATGTTTCCTTACCAATAAAGTATCACAGCACCTCAGAATCTAACTCAAAAACCATTACATAAAACCCTGAGGTTTCTGTTGACTGCAAAGTAAGAAATACTCTATTGGAGACAAGCACTGTTTCACTCCAGGCTTGAAGCCTTGAATACTGAGGTTTCCTCTGACTGCAAAGTAAGAAATACTCTATTGGAGACAAGCACTGTTTCACTCCTGGCTTGAAGCCTTGAGTACTGGGAAGATACAGGGCTTTCTCGAGCTCTACTCCATGCCATTACGCTTTCAGCAGCCAAGTTTAGCTCTGAAAATTATTCTCTGAGCTCTACTACTTCCTTGCTTCACTTCTGGTTGCCCTTCTAGAGACAGCAGATTTCCAATCTTTCCCCACACTTGCCTTCTTTAAAAAAGGGGGAAAATTCTGAAAAAAGAGGGATATATTATGGCTGGGAGAGGTAGGTAGGTAAAATGGAGCTCAATAAGGTAGTGGTAGGGAATAATATTCCATATATGATCTCTGGTTATCCTTGTTGAAATATTTTAGTAGAAAGGCACAGTGGAGTTAAAAACATTAGTAAGAAACTATTTTTCCTAGTGAAAAAATGAATAAGTTGTCCAAACAAAATAAATATTTCCATTTCTATTTAATCATTTTAACAAATATTTATTGTGTATCTATTATGTACCAGTTATTATGTTACCACTATTTACAGAAGTGAACACCACTGAAAAAATTCCAGTTCCTAACAAGCTAATGTATTAGTGTAGAAAAATAGACTACACACACACACACACACACACACGCACATATTTTGTACATATCTTGCATCTACATCATATGGTAGTCAGTCTCCTGAAAGAAGTACAACAGCAAGACAGGAAAATTATTTTGGTGAGTGGTTCAGACAGGGAGGACAAAAGTACAGATGGTGCTGAGCCGATTCCATGTGCGGAAGGAAATCAGGAAGAATACATAGGCTATTTAAGTTATTCTATAATGGTTACTTACATTTTTCTATCTCCCAAACAATATGAAAGATTTTAAAGTAAGATATTCATGAAAATCTACAACATCACAAAATTACTTAGTTTATTTCTTCCTATGTTTAGTTACCTAGAAAATGAGGTTAGAAACAAACAACAAAACCTCTAAGCTTAGAGATTTTTCAAGAAGATAAAATGAAAAGTAAATATAAAACTTTACCAAATATGCCATGGTTTATCTTTTATGTTCTCTAAACACAGCAACTGAGACACTTTTACAGATGTCACTGCATCTCTAAGATCCATTTTGTTTGCAAAGAATAAGATTGGAATTCGACGATGTTTAATATCTAAAAGAGAAAATAAGACTATTACCACACTTCCAGTTTTTTGGGTCACTTTGCCTTAAATCTTTAAGGTTGAAATCGACCAAAGTGTTTTCTAATCACTTTTTTCTACACTGCACAAACATAAGCATATAATATATACACTGTTGGGCTTGTAACTGAGCAATAGAAAAAAAGTATTTCCTATAGACCACTTATCCTCTAGCCAGGAGCTTTAAACCAAAGATGGGGTATAAGTGGGAAGCTCAACAAGAAATTACAGAGAAGCTTGTACACAAAAGGGTAAAATATTTTGTTTGTGTCATTTTTAATGTTAAACAAAAAGAGGGGAAACTTCAAGTAGAAGGAGGAAAAACTGTATCCTAATTGTGGTTTTCACAGTAGCAAGTCTAGATATTTTCATAAGACATTTTTACATCATTATAATTTTGGAAACATTTTTCATTGTTTTGAATACAGAACCCATTTTATACAGTTCAGAATCTGGAAGACACAAAATGATACATAGTAAAACAATCTCCCTCCTCCTACCTTTGTCTGGGGTCATTTAATCACCGACAGCATCAATAAGCTGGCATCTTTGTGGGAATATTTTATGTATTTCCAAGTGTAATTATTAAGTTATTCTTCATGCAAATAGTAGTATTCTAAATCTTTATTTTTTTATTTTATGGTTCCAATATCATTATTTTATAATTTTTCTTAATTACATGCTTTAAGCTCCATGGCAACACATGGAGAGTTATTTCTTCATTATTTTAACCATTGTAGAATATACTTCTTTTAGTACTATGTATCATGATTTAGCCAGTACCCAATGGAGATTTACTCATATTTGTCACCAGTCTTTACAACTACAAATGATGCTATAATGAATAAACTTGTATTTAGGTCATTTTGTATAAGGCTCAGTATGTCTGTGGGATAAATTAAAGAAGTGGAACTGCTGGGTCAAAGGACATGTAAATAGCTATTTTGATAGACATTGATTTCCAAATTTTCATTAAAATTTGTATCAACTTATACTTCAAAAAAATGTATGAGTGTTTTCACTCTTCTCATTCCTCTAGCCAAAATAATGTTATTAATCTTTTGGATTTTTTTTTAAAGATTCATTTATTTGAGAGGCAGAGTCACAGAGAGAGAGAGGTCTTCCATCCCAAATGGTTCACTCCCAAAATGGCTATAACAGCCAAAGCTGGGCTGATCTGAAGCCAGGAGCCTGGAGCTTCCTGCAGGTCTCCTACATGGGCACAGGGGCCCAATCACTTGTGTAGGCTTCCACTGCTTTCCTAGGCCATTAGTAGGAGCTGGATCAGAAGTGGAATAGCCAAGAGACTCAAACTGGCACCCATATGGGATGTGGGCACCACAGGCAGAGGCTTATCCTACTATGTCACAGTGCTGGCCCATGGATCTTTTCCATATGATAGGCAAAAAAGCATGAACACAATGTGTTCATGTCTTTACTTGCATGTCTCTTTAGAAAGGCCAAGAATCTTTCCATACATTCAAAAGATCCTTACATTTACTTTCTTTTGTTGAACTGTCTTGTCATATCCTTTCCCATTTTCATTTAAGCTTTTATTTCTTTATTGATTTATAGAAACACAACTAGTACAGAAATAGGCCCTATAACTATGATATAAGTTGCAAATATTTTCCCTTGCCTGTCATTTGACTGTTCAGGGGCTATTTTTCTATTCAAAGATATTTTTATGGCCTTCACTTTTCAGAAAAAAAAATTCTTTATACACTTCAGTGGTGTATCACTCCCTTGAGAATTTATTTCATAAAATAAAAGTATCAGTACCTAAAGATACATGAACAAGGCTACAGTCGAGAAATCAAGGTTTCTATTAAATTTGAAGCAGATTTTATAGGAACTATTTCATCTTATTAGGCAATGGTATCACATTTTTTGAACAGAAAGTATAAAGATTAACCAAAGAAGATACACAACCAAAAATGCATTTTAGGCCGGCGCCACGGCTCACTAGGCTAATCCTCCGCCTGTGGCGCCAGCACCCCAGGTTCTAGTCCCAGTCGGGGTATCGGATTCTGTCCTGGTTGCTCCTCTTCCAGTCCAGCTCTCTGCAGTGGCCCAGGAAGGCAGTGGAGGATGGCCCAAGTGCTTGGGCCCTGCACCCGCATGGGAGACCAGGAGGAAGCAGTTGGCTCCTGGCTTCGGATTGGATTGGCGCAGTGCGCCGGCCATAGCAGCCATTTGGGGGGTAAACCAACGGAAGGAAGACCTTTCTCTCTGTCTCTCTCTCTCTAACTCTGCGTGTCAAAAAAACAATAATAATAAAAAAAAAATCATTCTTAACCCAGATACAAGACTGTTAAGTTTTTAAAGTGAAAAAGTGATATTAAAGGTATAAACTTTTTTTTAATTTCAAAAAAATTGAATAAGTTTGTAGTTGTCAGATAAAAACACAAAAGACACTATGAATGTGCAATAAGAACTGTTTAAAGGACCTATGCTGTTTTCATTTAATTTTTAACAAATCGTTTTTTTAAGCCATCATACTGTACAAAAAGCCCTAGCACAAAGTCTACTTCAAAATCTTTTTTGAAATGAGTAAGGCTAGAAACTCCATTATACAGTACTTACTTCAGAATTCTTTGCAGTCAGAGAAGGGAGGAAGAATAATATCCACCAATAGATGACTGATTGAATGAATATAGTATACCCTCAGAACAGCATATTGGGCCCCATGAAAAGCAGTAATTATATAACTACATTCAGTTTGACTGGAAAGGATTGCCATTGTGCAGTATTAATTGAGAATCAGAAAATACAGAAGATGTAAAGAATATAATACCATTTTAGTAAATGATGACAGTCTCAATAGCCTAGTCCTCAACCCTATAGATATCTTTGATGTGTTTATGCTTATATTTATATACATGCTTCATATATTTATTTATTCTTTGTATATAAATACCTGTCTTGAGAGAATTCCTACAATATATATTTAAGAAGTGTTTTGATAAAACACAAATACACACAACTCAGTAATAGAGCAATGCAAAAAAAAGATGTTAACCATAATAATTTTAGTAGATGTTATAATACACTGAGTTTTACTTCCTTCATTACTGTTTCTGCCTGAACTATTTTTACTCTTCTTCTACCATTTATTTTTTATTTCAGAGGCACAGAGAAAAACAGAGAGGTCTCATCTGCTGGTTCACTCTCTAAAAGGCTGGGGCTGGGCAGAGGCCAGAGACAGGAACTCAATCAAGGTCTCTCCCATGGGTGACAGAACCTCAATTACTTAATCCATTGCTGCCACCTCCCATGGTCTGCATTGGCAGGAAACTGGAGTAGGGAGTTAAGAGCTGTGAATCAAACCAAGGCACTTTGATGTGGGACTTGGGCATCTTAATTGACATCTTAAAAGGCCACATACCCACCCCCAAATTATTTTGCTAGTGGCACACATCTACTTACATAATCTGAAAAAAGGAATTTTTAGTTTTAGGAAATAAATATTAGAGATTAAAGAAAAACTGCAGAAAGTCTTGAAATTTTAAAAAGCTGGTCATTTGGTAATGATATTATAAATTCTGCATAATGTTTTAAAATTCAAAATGTTTAGATAAAATGTAACTTCATAATATAAGCAATACTTTTTGCTGCTACCAATGAACAAACATCACACATAAATGGACCCCAAAGCACATATATTACAGACTAAAGACACACACATACCTGGATGATTCAGAAGAGTATCAAGTTCTTCTTTGGCCACAACCATTCTTAGTTTATCACTACTATCAATGACAAAAATAATGGCTTGTCCTTCTCTAAATAACATAAAGAGAAGAATTAAAGCTACACTGGGAAAATTTTCCATGTTTATTATCCATCTGCACTTTCTAACATATTATCTCTTTATAACTATATCCATCATTAGAAGTTTTTATTTTATCTCTTATCACTTTATATGATTGGTCATTATTTAACCATTTGTCATATTTCAAGTTAAAAAAATCTCATCATTTGGATGGTAAGATGATAAACTTAATGACTTGCCATTTTATAACTTAAAAAATGAATAATTAGCTTTTTGTTTAAAAAATTAGAATATAAAATTAGGAAAAGACCATAATTATACAGAAAATAATGTGTATTTTGGGAAAAAACAATTGATACTTTATATATGTTTTCATATGAATATGCACACCTGTATTTAAAATGAAATTCAAGTGTTTTGGATCTTTCCATTGACACACATATAAACATTTCCTTTATTTTCTGGCATGATAGTTTGAAGCACTTTTATGTGATACACTAAAGCTACCCAACAGTGTTTCCCAGATTTTTTTTTTACCTTAAGCTACAATGAGAAATACATTCTACACTGGAATGTAGCTGATAAAGTATCCAGATTTTACATATTTTAATAACATTTTCTTGAAACAATACTTCAAAATAGGTTTTATTTTATCCTGTTTTTTTTTCTTTTAAAGCTGATAAACAGTCACTGAAATTTCAGTGCAGTACTTAATACATCACTGATTTCTCTGTGTCTTTAATGATTACATAGAATTCCACTGAGTGGATGGGACTTATTTTTGGACTTCTGGGTTATTTCCAATTTTCATTACTATGACAAACCTTGCAATAAATATCCTATCTACACAATGAAAATTTGATGCTTCAAGATTTGTTATTCTGAGTAAAATATTTAGGAATACATATACAACTTAAAGTTTTAGACAATCTCTACCAAACTACACAAATTTATAGGGCTATCCATATTTTTTCCACTTTGTCAGTCCTTTTCAATCAGAGTCATTCTAATACCATTATTATTTTTCTTTTATATTATTAATTTGCTGATAAGTTTCAATACCTCTTCATATCTTTATTTGGTACCTTATTTTTTTGTCATTTACATATTACAGTCATAAATTAAGATTTTCATGCAGAATATCACTGATAGTCACAAGAAGATAAAAATAAAATAACTTTGCAAATACCATTTTCTCCTATTAAAACACAATTATGGGGGCCGGCGCTGTGGCGCAGTAAGTTAATCCTCTGCCTGTGGCACTGGCATCCCATATGGGCACCGGTAGGTGCTCCTCTTCCGATCCAGCTCTCTGTTATGGCGTGGGAAAGCAGTGGAAGATGGCCCAAGTTTTTGGGGCCCTGCACCCACATGGGAGACCAGGAAGAAGCACCTGGCTCTTGGCTTCGGATCGGCACAGCTCTGACCGTTGCAGCCATTTGGGGAGTGAACCAACAGAAGGAAGACCTTTCTCTCTGTCTTTCCCTCCCACTGTCTGTAACTCTACCTCTCAAATAAATAAATTAAAAAAAAAAAAACCACAATTATGCATATTGGCAAAATCATACATTACTAGCAGGTATAGAAAGCAGGATAACTGGAAATATGTAACTATTAGAGGTTTAAAAATGTTCAATCATTTTGAACCAGTGATTTTATTTCTCAATTCTTTCTAAGAAAGCATGAACTATACCACATGGGAGTACTAGTTTGAGTCCTGGCTGATCTGCTTCCAAATCAGCTTCCCGCTAATGTGTTGGGGAAGGCAGAGGAAGATGGCCCAACTACTTGGGCCCCTGCCACTCATGTGGGGAGGCCAACATGGAATTCCTGGCTCCTGGTTCAGATGGCCTAAACCTGGCTATTGCAGCCATCTAGGGAGTAAACTGGCTGATGGGAAGATCTTTGTTTCTCTCAGTCTCTTCTCTCTCTCTGTCTTTTAAATAAATAATCAAAAAAAAAAAAAAACTTTCCAACCAATAATACTACACTCAGAAAAGTTATCCTTCAGAAATGAAGGAGAAACAAATTTTGCAAGATAAACAAAAACAAAAGGAATACATCACCATCAAAACAACTTTGATAACCATGCTTTAAGGAGTCCTATACCTGAAAGCAAAAGGAAGATAACTTCCACCATGAAAACACATGAAGTATGAAATCCACAAGAGCATATCCATTAAAGAAATCCAACCTTATCAATACAGTAAACAACAAAACCACAAATACAAACAGAAGAAAATTAACAAAATGATAGCAATCTTTATTTATCAATAACAACCTTAAATGTAAATAGATAAAATTCCTAACATACACACAAGCCAAATTGCTAAAAAACAAGATCAAAATTTTCATTGACTAAGATATATAAATATACACAGATTAAAAGTCAACAATTCAAAAAGAAAAAGATATACATGCAAACAGAAACCAAAAGTGAGCAGGAGTAGCTATGCTTATATTAGACAAAACAGACTTCATGAGAAAAACTGTAAAGAGAAACAAAGGAGGTCATTATATAATGATCAAGGAATCAATTCAAACAGAAAATACAAGAACTATTAATACAGAATTACCTAATGTCAGCACAACAAATTTTTATGAAACAAACACTTTTAGATCTAAAAGTAGAGATAGGCGTTAATACAATAACAGTAGGGAACTTCACCATTGCATTTCATCAAGGGACAAATCATCCATACAAAAAATGAACAAAGACACATCAGATTAAACTATACTGAATATAGACCAAATGAACCTTACAGACATCTATAGAATATTTCATCCAATAGCTGCAGAAGCACATTCTTTTTCATCAGCATATGAAACATTGTCTAGAACATATAGTATATTAGGCCACAAAACAAGTCAACAAATTAAAAAAATAAAAAATCATATTTTATATCTTTTCTCATTACAACAGAACTAGACTATAAATCAATAAAAGAAACTTTAGAAATTATACACATAAATGGAGACTAACACACTATTTAGCAAACTGATTCACTACAAAAATCAAAAGGGAAATTAGAAAAATTCTTGAAACAAATGAAACAACATACCAAACCTTTACAGCGAAAGCAATACTAAGATGCAAGTTTACAGCAACTTACATAAAAAAAGCACTTACATAAGAAAAAAAAACTTAAAATAAGCAAACTAATATTATATTGCAAAGACCTGGAAAAGCAGGAACAAATCAAATTCGAAATTACCAAAGGAAAAGAAAGAAAAAAGATCAGAGCAGAAGCAAATAAGATAGAGACTAACATAATTCAAAAGATCAATGAAAGAAAACTGATTTTTTGTAAAAGACAAAATTGATAAACCTTTAGGCTAACCAAGAAAAAAAGAGAAGACCCAAATAAATAAAATAACTGATGGAAAAGGAGATATTACTGTTGCCACAGAAATAAAAAGGATTATTAATGGGTATTATGAACAACTCTCTGCCAAGAAATTGGAAAATGGATGAATTTCTGGACACACATAACCTACCAAATTGGACCACAAAGAGAAAACCAGACCAATGACAATTAATGAGATTGAATTAGGTAAAAAGCTCCCAACAAATAAAAGCCCAGGACCAACGGTTTCATCACTGAATTCTACCAAACTTTCAAGAAAGAACAAACACCAATTCTCCTCAAACTATTCCAAAAATGTGAGAGAGAGGGAACTCTTCTAAGCTCATTCCACAAAGTCAGCATTACCCTGATATCCAAAACTGAGAAGGGCACAACAACAACAAAATAGAAGAAGTATAGACCTATAATCTCCTTGGTGAGCATAGATGTAAAAATTCTCAACAAAATACTAGCAAATCATATCCAGCAGTATATCAAAAAGATCACTCACCATGATCAAGTGGGATTTATTCCAGGGATGAAAGAATGGGTTGACATATGCAAATCAACAAACGTAATACACAGCATCAACAGAATGAAAGACAAAAACCTTATGATCATCTAAACAGATGCCACAAAAGGATTTGATATAATGCAGACTCCTCCATGATAAAAACTCTTAACAACTATAGAAGGAACATAATGGAGGTCATGAATAACAACAGCTCACATCATACAAGTTTCTAGCTTTTCCCTTTATATCTAAATCTATACAAGGATGTTGACTACCACTGCTTATATTCAATATAGTACCGGAAGTCTGACCCAGAGCATTAAATAAATAAGAAGCACACAAAGAGAAACAAATGAAAGGCAAACAAAGAGGAGAGGAACATGTCAAACTACTCCTTTTAGCAAATGATATTATTCTATATATGGAAAAGCCTAAAGACTACACTAAAAGACTATCAGACTTAATAACTTCAGTAAGATACAGGTGATAAAATCAACATGCAGAAATCAGTAGCATTTTTAAACAACACATATTAGACAATTTTTTGCTACAATATTCGATACCTGAGGCAAGCTACTTCAAAAAGAAAAGAGAAGTTCTTAGCTCATGATTATGGAGGTGTAAGGTCCAAATAGTCTAGTGCAAGCTCCTGCAAGGGCCTGCCTTCACTGCCCCTCCTCTAATAAAATCACCAAGATTCAATCATGGGAGCTCCATTCTAATAACCTACTACAATCTAGTCACTTTCCAGTGGCTTCAACTCTAAATACAGTCAAATTAAGTTTCCTTCCTCTTAAATACCATTAACATATGACACTGGGGAATAACTCCAGCCTGAATTTAGCAAACAAACTGTATTCAAATCATAGTACACCAATAATGCACTTACTCAGAAAGAAATAATTAAAGTAATCCCAACCTAAGTGGCTATAAAAAAGTAAGAAAAAAAACTAGAAATATACTTAAAATTTTACTAAGGAAGTGAAACACTTCTATAACAAAAATTATAAAACACTGATTAAATGAATCAAAGAAAATGGAAAAAAAAGGAAAGACTTCTCATTCACAGATTTGAGGAATTTTATTGTTAAAATATCCATATTTCCCAAAGCAATTTACAGATTCTGTCAATCCCTATAAAAATACTAA